GACTGACGTGATCTGGACTAGACTGACGTGATCTGCACTAGACTGACGTGATCTGGACTAGACTGACGTGATCTGGACTAGGTTGATCTGGACTAGACTGACATGATCTGGACTAGGTTGACGTGATCTGGACTAGACTGACGTGATCTGGACTAGACTGACGTGATCTGGACTAGGCTGACGTGATCTGGACTAAACTGACGTGATCTGGACTAGACTGACGCGATATGGACTAGACTGACGTGATCTGGACTAGGTTGACGTGATCTGGACTAGACTGACGTGATCGGCACTAGGATGACGTGGTCTGGACCATCCAATATGATACGAAATCATGATAGTAAATTTCAACGTGATCCTTCTTCAGCGTGACAATCACGAATGGGCGTGATTTAAGTAAAAATTTTAACGGCTAGTTTTTTTTTTTTTTTTTTTTACAGTATGGGTAGTTTCATATTCAGCCAAAATTGTGTTTGCCAATGACGTCATCTAGTTTTTTTTTTTTAAACCTGCGTCTGCTACCCAAACGAGATTTCCAGTTCGGTCGTCTGCTTTCCAGCCTGAGACCTAATGTTGTGGATCATCGCGCGCCTGCTTTACACTCGTTAAATTAAAAAAAAAAGTCTTACTCTAGGGGTGGGGATAAAAAATTTCGGGTAATGGTGAATAAGAGTTTGCGCTCCTGATCGTAGCCTTGACCTTACCGTTCTTTCATGGAGTGAGGGGGGGGGGGGGGGCATCGAAAAATCAACCTCTTATGATGCAAGTCAAGATGTTCAGCTTTCGATAGCAGAATTCTTTCTGGAACTTTCGGATTTGAATAGTTGGCTTCGTTTTGTTTTTTTTTAACTGTAGAATCGTTTATTTAATATTTGATTGTAGATTTGTTCATTTGACAATTCGTTGTAGATATTGTCATTTGACATCTGGCTTTAGAACTGATTATTTGACATTTTGACATTTGGTTGTAAAAGCGTTCATTTGATATTTGATTGTAGATTTGGTCATTTGACATTTTGTTGTAGATTTTGTCATTTGACATTTGATTGTAGAATTGCTTATCTGAAATTTGCTGTACAATTATTCATTGGACATAGATTTATTCGCTTTGAAAAATATCTGTATAATGATTTCGCTTTGACAAGTAGGCCTACTATAGAAATAAACTGAACGTTTTCAAATTTGGCTGTAAAAATAATACTCATATGCGCACTTAATCGAGTTTATGAATCATGGTCTAAAATTAGCTTGATGAAACTATTGAATATATTTTTTTTTTTAAACCTCCATCTCCACTTCTAGTCGTTAAGGGAGAGAACCAAGTATCGGAACAGTTGTGTGCCCGGGGTTACGGCCAACATCACATCACGACAAGGGACATAAGTCCTCTACAATTGCGCTTACAAATGCCGACTATTTTCGTCTGCATAACTCAGCCGTCAGTGGTCGCTTGGCTTGTTCCAGATTTTTCTTTTTAAATTGCAGACGGTAGTACTGGCATCCTTTTAACCCCTCTGGGCGATCTCTTCGATTTATGTCGTTTCTCTCTCTATCCCACCCCCTCTCTCTCCTCTCCCTCTCTCTCCTAGCTCTCTCTCTCCTTCTATCTTTCTACCTTTCAATCTTTTTCTCATTAGTTTGCGCGTTATCTCCATTCTATCTTCCCTTCACTTTCTCTCCTTCAGACCTACTTTCTCTTACGTTCTCCCTTCTCTTGCTCTTCTCTCGTCCTTCTGTTTCTCTGTCTCTTTTTCTCATTGTTTCTCTCTTAAATACATACACTACATCGACTACACAATTTCTAAAACATCAAATTTTTTCTATTTATATATTATACTATATGAATATAAGTATATATATATATATATATATATATATATATATATATTAGTTTCATGAAGCGTTACCTAAGATAGTTCGTCCTTCTTTCAGATGCGTAGACTATCTCATTGTTTTAAAAACAAGCTACGTAATGTTAGTTTTGTCTCAGGTCGCTTTTGTCATTTCCAAGACACACTTAGACACATGGGTGAGACACTTCCAAGACACACGTAGACACGCGGATGAGACACTTCTTAGACACAGGTAGACACAAGGGTGAGACACTTCTAAGACACACGTAAGCCCATGGGTGAGACACTTATAAGACACACGTAAGCCCACGGGTAAGACACTTCTAAGACACACGTAAGCCCATGGGTGAGACACTTATAAGACACACGTAATCCCCTGGTTGAGAATCCCTATCAAAAACTGAGAAATATTCATCCAACTCAAAGATATAAGTACTTACTTAAACAGTTGTGTTATTCTCGGCTCTGGTAAAAATACATAGCCAGCGGCCATCTTATCACGTGACATACCCTTCAGGTGATTGGTTGTCTACATAGATGTGATATCCAATCAAAGATCGTCGTTTTTTTTTTTCGCGTCGCTGATTGGTTCCATCACGCTATTCAAACAGTTGTCGATAACGGAATGTCTATTACATGACTTGTGGAATGACGAATTGGGTTGTCTACTATAAAAGACCCCCCCCCCCCCGATCGAAATGGAATTCATATAGAAAACATATACTTTTACTAGTGTTCACCACCCTCCCCCCCCCCTGAAAAATGTTGGCCGCCCCTCCCCCCGTAAGTTTCAAGTGCCCCTCGGAGAAAAAAGTCTGGTAGAAACTCTTTTGCCTACTGTTTTAGACGTGAAATTACGTCAAATGAGTTTTCTGTAGTGTTTACCACGTAAGATGTGAAATGAGTTGTCGGGACAGATTTCACATCAAATCAGCGGCTGACCCACATTATGGGGTTCTGGAAGTGAAAGGCGGTGAAACGTCTTCAATTTTTTGTTATCTGTTTATGATCTATTCAGAAGTCGACGAATGTGGATTGTCGACGAATGTGGTAGTCGACGAATGTGGAATCGACGAATGTGTAATCGACGAATGTGGTAGTCGACTAATTTGGAAGTCGACCAATGTGGAATTCGACGAATTCAAAAGTTTAACGCGTACATTAATAGCCCGTCTTGAATTAAATTCATACATCATCCACTGGCTAGTACGGGGCTCTTGAAGCTTCTTGAGCTAAGGCAGGACTGTTTAAGCTCCAACACAGAGCTTAAACTAAACTCAAAATAGTGCCTGGTGTCTTTTTCTGACTTTTACTATTAAATGTTGCAGCTGTGTTGTATAGGGTTAAGACCACGCCACTGGACCAATCCAACTTTCTTCCTGTTAGATCTCAGTGACATCTTCATTTTTTGTTCCTGTATGGGCTGGTGTCCATGATGGTGTACGGTCTAAATATCACTAGTTTGGTGATATCCGGTGGCGTTGTCAACAGTTTCTTCCAGGCATCTCTTCGGGTGGGCGAAGCCCCCCCCCCCCCTCGAAATTTTTTTACCGGCCCCCAAACGAAATGAAATTTATATAATTTATATAGAAAATATATACTTTTAACAGTGTCCGCCCCCCCCCCCCCGAAGAAAGTCTACCGCCCCCCCCCCCCCCCCCCGAAAATTTCAAGTGCCCCCCCCCCAGAAGAAAAAAGTCTGGAAGAAACACTGGTTGTTAATTGCTGTTCTAGTGTTTGTGTGTGTGTGTGGGGGGGGGGGGGGGTCTTAGAATCTGCCCCACATTTACCCTCGAAATATCACGTGTCTCGCGTCTAGTTACGACTGTTGGTGTCGTGTTGCTTCCAATTTCATCTCTTTAAATTTCATTAAACACATTAATTAAACCACATTTTTTTAATTCACAAAATCGATATTATATATATATATATATATATATATATATATATATATATATATATATATATATATATATATATATATATATATATATATATATATATATATATATATATATATATATATATATATATATATATATATATATATATATTTCATACTTGTATATTTCCCCATTTAAAGTTTAGTAATTCAGACCTACTGATGGCAGTCCTATTTATAGCCCTCAATTCATTTTAACACCCACCTAAAGATCCATACACCACAAAAAAACAATTTTTGGAACAACGAACATCTTGAGCTGATATTTTCTCTCTTGTCTTCGCGCTCATTGTATTAATACCTTACAATTTTTGTTTCCGCTTTGCGGCAATCATTTTTTTTTGTCAATTGGCCATTTTTTAAATTAAGCATTCGGAGAAACAAATCTATAAATTATTTAAGTGACCTTCAACCTTAATCAGGAACCAGTTGAAAAACTCTAGTAACATGAGGGCTTATGTTAAACTCACTCGTCGCCCTCAAGGCAACTACCAACAGCGACGCACACAGACAAAAACATACGAACCCGCCACATCACACAATTCGGGAGGAGGGATAGGGTGGAACTTTGCCATGTAAAACGAGGGGGAAGGGGTAAGGGGGAGGGGATGAGTAAGTGTGACGACACATTTTATAATTTAAGTAAACAACATTATTTGAAACTCAATTTTAGCCGTTATTTAAAAAAAAATTATTTTAGAAATTATAATAGAAACCGGTTCATATTCACAATATCCGCGCTGAGTTAATAATTTATAAACAAATCGTAGTTTCAAAAAACAATAATTATAGCTTTGATGTGTGGCGTCACTTAAGGTGGGTTATTAAATATGCTTCCGGTGAGTGAAGATTGTGGGGGGGGGGGGGGGGAGTAACAGTCCTGTAAAAAGGGTGACGTAGATTTTGGGAGCCCCGAGCCCTCATTTACTACGTCACATCCACAAACCCCCAAACAAACAAAGAGACGTTGCGAACTAAATAAAAAAACTTGAAAAAAATAAAAATAACTCACGCAGATAGTTTTTTTTATGCACGCGTTTTGAAATAATGTGAATTTTAAATTTTTAAAATATCAGAATCTGATATCTTACAGCTATTTTAAAATAAAACAACTAGTTTCGGTTTAAAAAGTGCGAAACTTTTCAACAAAAAATAATCACTGGCTGTGGAGAAAAAAATAATTGATTTCCGTTCTTCAGGATATGGAACTTTTTTTTCTCTTCTCTTGAACGTCACGTGATCTAAACAGGCGGCCCACGTGCTTCCCACGTGCACCCGGTGACAAACACATGTAGGCTGGTCAGTATCATGCTGCCCTTGACTCGGACTCTCAACACCTCCCTCCGTCCTGCCCCCGGCCTGCTCACCCTCCTCGTGCTGATCCTGCTGCCCGTGACGTCACCCGCCCGTCACGCCATCGGCCTCCTGGTCCTGTCCACCAACGCTAGCCTCGGGTCCGGGTTCGAAACCCACGGCGGCCAGTCCCTGATCGCGACCGTCGAGGAGGCGGTCCGGACGACGGAGGTGCTGCTCAAGCCGGCCGGGGTCAAGGTCACGCTGACGTGGAGGGACGCTGGGGTGTGCGACGAGCGGCTGGCCCTGGGGGAGACGGTGTCGCTGCAGAGGGATCAGGTGGACGTCATCGTGGGCCCGTTTTGTCCGGCATGTAAGTAGCAAGTTTGTTTTTACATTTGGCAAGTTTGTTTTTACATTTGGCAAGTTTGTTTATGCATTTCTTAAGTTTGTTTATGCATTTGGCAAGTTTGTGCATTTGGCAAGTTTGTTTATACATTTGGCAAGTTTGTTTGTTTATGCATTTGGCAAGTTTGTTTATTTATGCATTTGGTAAGTTTGTTTATGCATTTGGAAAGTTTGTTTGTTTATGCATTTGGCAAGTTTGTTTATTTATGCATTTGGTAAGTTTGTTTATGCATTTGGAAAGTTTGTTTATGCATTTGGCAAGTTTGTTTGTTTATGCATTTGGCAAGTTAAGCAAAAAAAAAAAAAAAAAAAAAAAAAAAAAAAAAAAAAACTGAGGTATGTAATTAATATGAACTAAAATTTTATAACATGTTCTCATATAAATATCGGTTAGCGATGTGTTTGGCAACATCAATCTTGCTTGCAAACATTTAATCTTAACCCGCTTGATTATTTGGTAGTATCACTTTCTTAAAGGACACTAGTTTAATAATTGTTTTTAAAAAAATGTGCTATTGGCTGGGTAGGACTGGAACCGTAGAGTTTCCGATCCAAAATTGAATCCCCTACACTTAACACGCTCTCTGTCTTCTCTATTAGGGCCCTGTAGAGACCTTAGGCACGACGTTTCGTGTACTCATTAACCGGACTGGTAGATAGGCAGCTTGATAGTTTCTGGAATTAGTTAAAAATAAAGATTTTAGACTGCTGGGCAAGGGCGGGGTCATCCTGGTTTTCTACCTGTCCGATACACACGGATACAGCGAAGGTTGCCCAGGTACAGCATTAAACATCTGGCCAAAACATCGCATGGTGAAACTAGCCAAACTTGATTTGGGTGAAAATTACCACACGTAATACGAATCAAAGGACTTCCTTCCCCTCATTCATTCACCTATCCGGTGGGGGAGGGGGAGGGGGGATTACAGCTTATAGTTACAATGGTATGGTTAGGTTAGGTTAGGTTAGGTTAGGTTAGGTTAGGTTAGGTTGGGTTGGGTTGGGCTGGGCTGGGCTGGGCTGGGTTAGGTTAGGTTAGGTTAGGTTAGGTTAGGTTAGGTTAGGTTAGGTTAGGTTAGGTTAGGTCAGGTCAGGTCAGGTCAGGTCAGGTCAGGTCAGGTCAGGTCACGTCACGTCACGTTACGTTACGTTACGTTACGTTACGTTACGTTACGTTACGTTACGTTACATTACGTTACGTTACGTTACGTTACGTTACGTCACGACGTTACGTTACGTGTTTACAATATAAGAAACATAACAGAAAAATAGTTAACAATGTATTTTAGTTGTTAACATTTTTATGTATAGTGCAAGTGTAACATTTGTTGCTGTAACATGCTTGCATGATGCTTTTTTAAAAGTTACATTTAAAAAGTGCAACTGTTTTGATGAAACGTAAAATTGTAAGTTTTTCATCTTCATTTTTTTTTAAATCTCAGACAAAATATTTCCGCCTCTAAATTAATTTTTTTTTACATTTTAAGAGGAAGAAATCGCAATTGAAAAAAAAAGCGGAATGATATGGGTGATAGCTAGTTAAAGTGCGTGATTCAGCCCTCACCCCCCCCCCCCCACACACATACACACATTCTTTCCTTATCGTTTATTTTTGGTTGTGTGCAGTTTTTGTAATCTAGTTTCCGTTTTCCACCCCACCCCCTCTCTCCCTGCTCTTTTTCTCCCAATCCAGACCCCTTTTCCATATCACGTTAACCTCACTCCTAGTTTTTCATGCATTTTAATAGTTTGAGTTAAGGGTGGGGGGGGGGGGGGACTCGCATTTAAACTTTTTTGGTTAAACAATAAAGCTAAATTGGTTCAAAACAAAAACAAAAGAAAAAAATATAACTTTAAAAAAAAAATAAACATTACTAAAATAATAAAAAATCGAACAAAATTAAAGTGAAATAAAAATATTTAAAACAAAAATAAAGCTTTTAAAATAATTGAAAACAAAACAATCTCTAAGAGCAAACGAGTTTTAAAATGTGTTAAGACAGTCACCAACTTCTGATACAATATCTTTATAAACATGCTCCTCGTCAAATTTGAATATATCATACCCCCCTCCTGTATAATATTTTATACAGGCTTATATACGTGCTACAACTTTTTAGCAATTTTTGTCATCTTTGGTGAAAATACCTACAAAATGAGCAAGGAAAAATATAATTCTCGCACTATAATATTTAAAGAAAAAAGCTATCACAAATAACAAAAAAAAAAAACCCATCAATAAAGCGGGAGTGATCGCCCCTAAACTGTCTCGAATATTCTTATATAACACCACTATAGGGTGTCATAACTCGGCATAAGATGATACAAAACTACAAATTTGATATAATACTTATAAATAAAATTGCATCAACCTAGCTGTAATAATCAAATTATCGTGTTCACAGACACACAGACACACAGACACACGGACACATTTGCAAAGCTATATTTTTCCGACTCAATGAGGTGTACAACTTCGAGATTTGTGAAAATCTCGAATTTGATTTCTTGCACGATTACAATACTTCCTCTACACTTCGTATATGAAATTTGTTTTAAAGTAATAATACTTTATTTTGTAGTTTTATACAGTTTCAAAGACATAAATATATATAGTGTTTATAGTATTTAAATCGAGCAAGTAAAATGGGTTAACAACTAGACTAAAAGGGTGCGCAACTTTGTTTCTTTTGACTGCTTAATTTACCGTGCTCCATCATCACAAGTAAAGCCACAAGTTGACATTGTAGCTACCCGTGGTCAGAAACCATTTTTTAAAAATACTTTTATTTTCAAATGGAAATAATTACATCAGCATATACAAATGTGTGTGTGCGTTAGTCTTTAACATAATTCAAACATTTACAAAAATTATCATTACATGAAAAAAATGGTGAACATTACTAAGAATGATTTTCTATCAATAATTTAATAGAAGCTAATTAGAAATAAAGAAATGCAAAGATGGTATTTTTAACCTGATAGTCTTAAATGTTTTCACAGTTTTGTTGAGAATTTCTTTTTTACAATATAAGCAGCGTGGGAAATTAATAGGAAATATTTTAAAATAAAACAATCTGGATGCAGAATAACCAATACCATAAAAAAAATAAAAAAAAAATTTAGTATATTTTTTATTTGTGAATTTTTATGGGTTTTGTGAATAGAATAAAAGCCTTTTTCCTTAAAACAATTCCTGTCCAGTAGCTCTTGACCTCTAAAATGCAGTTATTTGCACCTTTTTTTTTTTTTGGCGTTAGTGCACGAGATGAGCTAACCGCGAAAATAGTTCACCGTTGACGGCCATTTTATCAAGCGATCAGTAGTATTTTATTTTGTTATCTCCCCTATTACTATTGAATTTAATTGTTTTTAAATTTTTATCACATTTGAGCCTTTAATTAGATTTTTAAAAAAATTAGATATACTTGCATTGTCATCCAAGATCCACATGTGTGCTTAATTTCAGCTCAATCGGACAATGGAAAGTAGGTTAAACTAATGTTTCAACGTCTGCGGAGCGACAAATTTAGTGAACGTAATAAAGCCTTTAAAAAAGACAAAATTCGGTTGGCCAGTCGATACAGAAATAACCTAATTTTGGGTACCAGACCCACACGTATTTTTTTTTTCTGAAAAAATAAAAACAAATTCTATTGACTATACATTTCTGTTGAACGTTTCGTGCACCAGTAGTAGGTTGCGTCCCTTGGGAGGGGGGGGGGGGAGTCGCGTCTTCCTCTTTAGACACTGTTGGTTAAATATTCAATCTAACTGCGAAACATTTAGTACGTCAGATTATTTTTTCGTCAATCTACTAACTAGCAAAGATAGCGTGTTCCGGATAATGAGCTGTTGTCTAGAGGAACTTAAGTCAAAGATTCTCGCTTTATGTACTGTTGTCTACCACATAAGCCTACGTAAACATGCGAACTTTTATCTTGTACTCGAGCTTATTCCATAAACGAGATTTAGAGATTTCGTGTTGCCAAAAAATCATTTAGTATGCGAATTAACTATTGTCAACACTGAAGAACTTTTGTTTAACCGATAATTTTATAGCAGACTAAAAAAAATGTGTCTAAATTTTTCTAGCAGACGATCCCACGACTAGGTTTTTTAGCGCAATTTCCATACGGACAATTGCGATTATTAACTCGTCATTTCTGGATGGATGTTTGCTTGCATGGATGGATGTGTGTCCGAAGCTTTAAGTCGTATCTCCTCCTCAACGAAGCAATATCGAGGACTAGTTCCAAAGCAAATATATTAAGCAAGTTCCAAGGATGATTGTGGGCCAAAAAAATTCCCGGAATTCCTTCCAGGATTTCCCGGAAAAGCCAAAAAACCTCGAACAAATGCAGTTTTTGCTCCATATCTCGGCAACCAGACCACTTAGCGACTTGAAACATTTACCAATCGATTCCTGTCATAATTTAGACCAATATTGCCGAAGAAAGTTTTCAAAAATATCCTTTCGTTCGGTCACAAAAAAATTGATTAAGAACATTTAAACTGAGCATCGTGTAGGCCTAGGATGATTTAAACTGAGCATCGTGTAGGAGTTTATATTATTAGGATGCTATTTACAAAAAATTAAAAATTGTTATGGATAACATAAGGAAATTGCGCTTAAATTGTCAATAGACTTTTTATTAACTTGTTTTTTTTTTAGTAGAATAAAATCAGTTTAAATTTTGCAAAGCAAATGAACTTCGGTTAAAATTTAGTGTCGCAGACGATGTTTTTGTCTAATATTGTGTAGCAAACGAACTTTGGTCAAATTTAAGTCTAGCCGTCGATTCTTTGACTTGGATTTGTCTAGTAGCAAAACGTTTGTCTAAATTTTGTATAGCAAATAAACTTTGGTCAAAATTTAGTCTAGCCGTCGATTCTTTGACTAAGATTTGTCTAGTAGGAAAACGTTTGTCTAAATTTTGTGTAGCAAACGAACTTTGGTCAAAA